GACATAACTGAACACCTATTGTGATTGGGCAGATGTTAGTTATACTGCGGAGCACATTTCAGATTGAGAAGGAAGCGGAAAAGGATTTTAGGGCGATCTTCTGAAAAGCCGAGATTTTGGGTAAAAATGCTTTGGTCAAAAGAGGACTACACTTGCAGTGCTTCTTGTACAGCCTCACTCCCTCCTCTCCCCTCTGCTACCCCTTCCCCTTCGCTGTTTTCTCCTCTCAGAAGCCGCTGGCTATAGGCTATTATGCTTTACACATTGTTTGCTGCTTTCACTTCGGTATTATTCTCATATTTTTTATTTCTGGAATTGTTTCTGATTAGGGCGAATTGTTTCTCTTGGATCTTTGATAAGTTGTGCATAGCACTGTATTTCTGTGCTTATTTTGCGTATTTTTGAATTGCATAACTGTTCTTGTCTGAGCGGACAACTGTGTACTGTGCTCAGCGAATTTTCGTAACACTCTGTATATTTTGGACTAAGCTCCATATCGACCTGTCTCTCTAATCGCGACTGCTCGGTCTACGGAAAGAGCGAAAGCATCCCAAATGTTTTTTTTTTTTTTTTGAAAAAAAAGCGAAGTTGACAGCAGTTGGGTGTTGTTTATAATATTGGAAGAGGGATTGATTTCATTGCACTGTTTCTTTCCTCCTACCCCCCGGAAATTCGTTTTCACTTTTTGTTTGCTGTTGAATTGCTGTTCTGTTGATGTTTATTGTTGGTGTTATAAAGATTTTTCATCCACTGTTCCGGAAAAAGACATTGCTCTTGCTTATTACCATCAGCCGCTGCAAGCTTGTGCTTATCAGTTTTTGTTCGCATTGGCAAAAATCTTTTGGGACAGTCAGTGAGAAACTGAACGTTACTGAACCACACATACATCTCCTCGTCCCCCAGTTTCTTCCGCTTTTTTTTTTTTGAAATATTTTTGCATTAAGACACAACGGGCCGTAATTCCTGATTTTGGACGGGATGTGCTTTATTTTACAGTAGTTAATTGATGAGTTTTTATTTCAGGACAATATCAGGAATGTCAGGAAGAATGGTGAGTGCTACGTTGGAATGTGTTCCTCAAAAACAGAGACAGTTTTTCAGTTTTCCAGGCGATTTTTTTATGTCTTATGTGTTTGCTCGCAGTTCATTACATCCTTGATGGTTGCTTTGCATGGTACTTCTAATTTCTGTTGATGATTAGTTGTCGTCAAATGATACGGTAACACATACACAAGTGCATCACCCTGTAGCAGGGAAATGAGGGAAACGTTCACCAGTCCCTCATTTGCGCAAACAGCTTCTCGACTCACCGGACACTCCCGGGCCAGCAACATTTGCCGGCTAGCAATACATTTTATTCACTTCATTAATCCTAATGGAACGGCAAGCTATCGATTAACGGATCCCCTGTTCATTCTCTGATTTATGCTATTCCGGTACCATTTCTTTGCCCCTTGCTCCCTATTGTCTCAGTCCGTTCAAGTCTTCACTTTTCTACAATTCTTCCTACTTCGGCGATCCTAAAAACAGTTTTTCGTCCGCTGGCTCAACTGCTTGAGTTTTTCGTCTTATAGATTAGATTTTATGCCATTTCATCGATGCTTTGCGGACCTCACATTTCATCGTACAACGAGGCTTTCCGTCTTTTTTGCAGTACTTGAGTGGGATTAATCTCTTCTACATTCCTGGATGCAACATTTGCATCTTTCTGAGGTAGCAACGACAGTTATGGTGGTGCTGACCGC